AGGTCTAGTTTTAATCTTTGGCAAGTTGAAGCCCAATTTTTCCCCCACCATTTATTAAAGAGGCTATCTTTCCTCCAGTGAGGGTGTGTGGCTCCTTTATCAAGGATGAGATGGCTGAGTGTGTCTGGTGTTGTTTCTGCATCTTCTAATCTCTTTCACTGGTCAAGACCTAAAGTTCTTAAAGGAAAGGGAAAGAACTATTTATACTGATGTTGAGTATGCTTTTGGAATGGTACATAACTTTGGAAAGATCTGGGCTGAACAAGGCCTGATTATACAAAAAGACCAGACCTAGCTCACAAAGAAGTAATCACTCAGGTCTTGGAAAACCAATGTTGCATGAAGAAATAGCTGTAGTATGTGTGCCAAGAAGAAAAGAGAATATTTATTGGAAGCCCAGGGAAACATGATAAGAGATGACACTGCAAAAAACGTCAGCCCTCCAATCAGAAGCCCCAGTTTTCTACTTCATCCTTGTTTTCACCTCCCCATCAGTTGTGCTGATATTCACTCCATAGAAGAACAACTAGCAAAACTAGAGACCTCTAGATCACCTGAAAGGAGATGGCTCCAGCCAGAGGGAAAAGCAGTGCTTCCAAGCCTATCATGAGAGAGCTCTCAGACTAGTTACATCAGGTAAGCCATTGGGTAGCCCAGGCTATGTGTGGAACTATGGGTGTAAGGAGATAAGCATATATCATGGCTAAATAGAATACACAAGGCTGTCCTATTACCAAAAAGGTGAATAAACAGGCAATAAAGAAACAATTTTTGTGAGAAAGAAACCCTGGGATAAGGCCATTTTAGAGTATCCAATTTAATTATACAGAAATGCCCAAAGTAGGCCATCTAAAATACTTGGTAGTTATGGTTGACCATTTAACTAACTGGGTCAAAGCCATCCCATTACCTAGTGCCACCACCAACAACATTGTAAAAGTACTATTGGAAACCATGATTCCTTATTCAGACAACAAAAGCCATTTTACTTCTAATATCCTTAGAAGATTGATGAAATCTCTAGAAATCACATGTGAATTTCACACCCCATGGCATCCTCAGTTCTCTGGTATCATAGAGAGGAACAATGCTAGATCAGGGCACAGTGGACAACTTACTTAGCAAGACCTTGTCTCAGGGACAAAGAAGTAATCAAAGAATAAAACAGTAACAAAATACAAAATGGCTGGCAGTGTAGATCATAGCTTCCCGGGATTGTGGCAAGAAAGAATAAAAAAGAAAAGAAAACCAACTCATTATGATCTTTTTTCTGGCCCCCTGGGCAAGCACTGGACAACCCCCAAACCCTTGAACTGTATGCAGGCATGTCACCCCTACTTGAACCATGCACACCACTGCATGTTGTGTACCAATGGGTAAACATAACAAGTGCAAAATAAACACCAAACTCCTGGACCTGCTTTCTTGTGCTATTACCTTCTCAGCTGATGGCAACCCCATCATGCCTCCTGTGCAGAACAGAACCAGGAAGTGTGAGTCTTTTGCATTTGTTTTCTTTGTATGCTTTTGTCAGCACTGCTGATGGAGTTAAGAGTGTTGTTTTTAATTTGTTTTTTGGAGTGGGTTCTTCTTAGCCTAGATTGACAGTGAAATTTTGATCCACCTGCCTCATCCCTTCCTAGTATTGGTGATTCTTGCTATATGCCAGATCATTTGAGGTATATGTCAGTCCATCTAGGTGGTTAAAGGATTGGAGTCAATTGAAAGTCTGTCAGGGCCGGGGATTTAGCTCAGTGGTTCCACCGCATGCCTCACAAGCACAAGGACCCAAGTTCAATCCCCGGTACAAAAAAAAAAGTCTATGAAATGATAGGAGATAGTTTTCCTATTTCTTGCTTACTGATAAAGTCTGTACAAGAACACCACCAGTTTGAATGAGCCCACCCAACACCTTAGAGAAAGAGCTTTCATTTTACTTAGGCCAAAGAGGAGATGTTCACCAGGCTGAGTGATTTCCCAAGGACATGTCAGCCGGTTACTTGAACTGTTGAGTTTATGTTCCCTCATTCCTCATCATCTGACACTAAAACCTGGGAGTAGGAGTAGAGACCAGGGTCTCTTTTGCAAACTACAATGCAGAGGGCAACAGCAGTTTACACAGGCTTACTCCTAGATCCTGAAACCCTCCTGTATTTCACCCCATATCCCATCCTTCCAAAGAATTGATTGTGCAGGTTTGACTGCCTTCTGCAGCAGGACTGAGAATGCTCTGGCCAAGGCTACCATTTTGTGAGTCCACAAAACATCCAGAGGCAAGTGTCAAACCCTGACCACTTGACTGGGTAACTAACTCTTGCTTCCCTTCCCCAAAAGCCCTCCATTTTTTCAAACACCACTCCTATAACCATCCTCCCAGACACCAAACAAAAAACCACCACCACCTACTAATCAATCATTATTCCTGGGAGGGTAAGTTTCTGGCCCAATAGATTTTCTGTTGGTGTCCAGAGAAAACCCATCTACTGTTCCCCTTTTTCCTTCCTAACCCCTTTTCCTTCCTCCTTTTCTCTTTTTGGGAACACCACAAAAAGGGGGACCTCCTGCTCTCTGACTATGGGGATGCTTCCACTTAGAATTCAGGAGAATCTCATCCAGCTCTGGGAGCCTACAGACCCCAGTCAGGAAGCCAATTGCAAGGAGGCAAAGAAGGGACCTGTTTCCCATTCCCAGATGCATTTATTACACCACCATGATGGCCAATTATCTCTCAAAAACATAGAGGGTCAACCTCTTCAGTTGTCTCCTGCATAACCTTTCCAAATTGGGGTTAAAAGAAGATATTAAACACCCTCCAATTTACTGATCTTTTACCCTTCTTCAGCATGAACCCAGCAAAAAGTCAAAAAATGATTATGCTAGCCAACTGAAGGTACTTCCAATTGCAAAATTCTGAGACCTTGATAACTTCCTCCAGAATGATTCTCATACAGAGATTCTGTATGTCCAAACCTTTATTTAATTCTCCATGAGCAACCTTCATTCTGTTCTACTCTCCTCTCTTCAAATTCTTCTCATTGAACAAAAACCTTCTATCCTCACAAAATCTCCTTTCCCCAATTTAAACCCACCAACATCACATCTTTACCTACCTCTGTCCTACTCTACTGAGGAATTCTGTCCCACTGATGTTCCTCAGCCCTATAACTTCCCAGTTCCTCAACAAATTAAACCAGAACCGCAACCCTACCAACCAAGAGCTTCAACCTCAAAACACTCCTTGTCTCCAACCTCCAGGAGCCCACCTACCTCCTCTGCCCTAGTCCTCTCCTCCAACCAACCCTTTTCTCCCCTCTGACATGCTCTGGCACACTTTCTTCTCATACAATACCTCAACAGATCTATTTTCATCTCATCCTTGAGGTGGCAGGTATAGAGAGGTTCATTTGCATTCACATTACTTTCTTAATTACTGAT